TCCTATTTCTATTTCTATTTTGCTCAATTATGGTCACCCTTATTAATGAAGACGCTAGGTTATGAATGACAGCTTCCTGCTATCACATGCTGTTAAAACATTATATTTATTTTGTATTTGCTCAGATATCGGCAGTTGGTTTTTGTTGAGTACCAATAATTTGCATCGGTATCGGCCTTGAAAAATCCATGTCTGTCGATCCCTAGTATTCTCAAAATATCCCTTTCATATTTCTGTGATCATACGTCTATGCTACTGAAAATACAGCCAGACCAAGCTACCTCCTTCGCAAAATATTTTAAGAAAGACAGTCCGACTCACCAGATGGAGGCTGCGGATGTAAGCCTGCCATCATTTCAGACAGTTTCGCCCTGTCCTTCCACTATCCGCATGTTACCGTTTTCAAACCCCACTTCACTACAAGAAACAACAGCGACCTCTTTTTTCTTCTTCTTTATTTTAACGGTGGATTATTCATTATTTTAATGACAGTGCTCACCTCCCTGCATGCAAGTGTTCCACCACAACAATTTCACCTGTCACTATTCGGAACACCGAAGCCGCATCCTTCACTTAGCTGCACCCCAGATGATTGTAATTGGTTTAAAGAAACATAAACAAGCCAGAACATTCCCCCCCTATATCAGGATGATAATGAGGTGCAGCCAGACCATTGTGTTTTACAGAATGTGCTCGCTAAGTGAGACATACGAAGACATGACTGCAAATTCAGGTGCCTGACAAAATAAATTACCAACCAACGTAAAGGTTCTTAATAAGATCGTGGGCCACCATGTGCTGCCAGAATGTTTTACAGCATTTACAGACTTATCATACCATTAGGTGACCCCTTGTGCATTATGGATGGCGGTATCACGATAAAAAGGTTTCATCACAGGACAGAGGTGATCACCTAGAACAACTTCGTGTTGATTTGCAGTGACCTTTAGGAAGACAAATGGACCCAAGTCATGGCACCAAAATGCCCCCCCACAACAATACAGAGCCACCAGGATCCTCTGATTGTAGAGGTCAAGGGTTCTGGTATTTCTATCACTTGTCTGTACAGTTTTTACTGTAGTGGAGTGGAACAGATAATGTGACAGATGAAATTAGCATGCACCGACTGCACTCACTCAGCTGCTACAGTTGTAATGCGAGGTCATGTAACTTAAAATGGCACTGCTCATAGTGTACTGCGAGAAACGTGAGAAAAACCTTTCCTGAATAAACTCAGACCGCTGCATAAAATTTCAAGGTTTATTTACTCATTACATCAATACACAGTTGAAAAAGGCAATTGTGGTTGTAGGAGAAGGAGGGTATTTGGATAAAATAGAATTATAGGATTAGAAATGTCACTGTTTTGTTTTGCCTAAATCCGGGTCAGGTTTGGGTGGTTGAGAAACACATATTTTTGCAGGCTGGGTGGTGTAGATTGGCTCTCACAACAAATCATCACTACCAAATACTCTCTTTATCTGGAGCATTCATCACATCACACAGTCTTCTTCAGCAGATGAAGATGACATTGAATTTGATATGGTCAGTCCAAGCATTATTCGCTTTTAAGGACGTATTTCCTTGTTGGCTTACGGTTGACCTTGACAGTTCAGTGTTGTGCTCTGACCTGGATCATCAAATACTCAACAGCTGAGTAAACTTCTTTTTCTGATGAAGTACACATGAAATGATTTGAATCCTAAGAGCAAGTACATAAGTGGATTTTGAGGGAAGAGTTAAAAATTACAAATATATTGCCTGCATACAGTCTAATGAAAAATGTTTAAGATGGGCAGACATTTATGTTTTAAGGATGGACTGTATATGAAAAAAGATGTAGTGTCCTTGTCTAAAAAGCGCAGCCAATGCAGAGGTATCTTAAACCTGCATTCTCTCTTCGGCCAGCAGGGGGCGACTCCATGCGTTAATTGTCCTAACTGCTAATTTCTGCTGTGGTTCAGGTGGTAGAACGGGTTGTCCAGTAATTGCAAGGTTGGCGGTTCAATCTCTGGTCCCTCCACAGTCGAAGAGTTCTTGGACAAGACACTGAACCCAAAGTTACTCCCAATGGCAGGCAGGCACCTTGCATGGCAGCTCTGTCACCATTGGTGTATGAATGTGATCTACTCTCAAATGTAAGTCACTTTGGATAGAAGCGTCTGCTGAATGAAATTGTAAAATTGCTCGAGGGCGGGGCTGCCTTGTGATTGACAGATTGCTACCGGGGTTATCTGTGGTGTCCCTGAGTTCTCTTGCAGATCCATTGCTCAGTTGTTGCATTTGTTGTCACAAACCAGTGGCTCACATCACAGTGGCTACATCCATCTTTTATACACAGACTTTTTTGTGTCTTTATAATGGAGGAATAAATACAAAAAGCTAGTGTTTATTTGTGCTGATTTTGTACCAAATAGACACAAATACAAACCCAGTATCAGTACCCACCAACTCAAATACTTTTACCCCATGGCTGCAGAAAAGACAGAATTTATAAAAACGTTTAAAAAGTGCTTTTGATCTGTTTAAAATGTCTGTTTAGAAAACAAGTGTCTTTAAAGTGTGTAAGATAATGAGAGATCATTAGACGTTTTACCTGGAGAAGACACTAGACGGAGTTCATCAGGCCAATTAACAGACTAATAGTGTTTTCCTTCAGCTCTGTCAGTAGTGAAATAGACATTAGTGTATAGACATTAAATACAGTCAAGGCAGTAGAAAAAGCAGCCAATGCCATTTAACATTAAACACATACACTACAGCTCACTGCACAGTTTATTTAGAGATAATACAAGATCCCATCTCTTTTGCATTCTGTCTTATCATCCTGATGCTCCTCACCGTCCTCTAGAGTACTGACACTACACTACACACACACACACACACACACACACACACACAAACACTTCTTGAGAGTGGTAGGGGACTGCAAAAATCGTGACTTAGCTTAATACCCATCTTTCACACACACACACATGCTGGGGGATTGGTAACATCGTGACTGTGGCGGCGAAGCCCTCCTCAGCACAGACACACAAACGCACTGTCATTAGCTTATTGATGTGGGTGTGTGTGAGTGGTTTTGTCTGATTGCTGTAGAAGTGGCAGTGATCAAACTCAGTCTGGGATGAAAGTGCTCGTTTCTCAGCCTGATGTCAGTTATCAGCCTCCGGATTCATGAAATGCTTCAGCCAGCAGATGTCTAGCATAAAATGGCACCTTTTGTCTGACATTAGACAGACTTACCAACAAGAAAACAAAACAACAATAACTGATCATCTGTTATAAATACTGATGAGTTGTAATGAGCTACAGCAAGTGATAACTCGCTATACTGTTAAACGCTGCCTCCTGATGGTCAAAGACACAATTTCTTTCTATTTATTAACTATTATCACATTGCTTCCATTTAGATAATTTAACAAACTCTGCAAAATGACACCTATAAGCTGCTGTACATTTCAAGAAAACAATATCGTATAGATATTCTTATTATCCTATCAATTCCAGTCTGTTACTGTTAATCAGAAATCATATATTACGTTAGGCATTAACACTTAATGAGTTTTCATTAAGCGAATAAGCCGCTGTAAGCAATATCTGAATACACCCTGTGGTTATAGATTCAAGAAAAATGTTTTCTGCAATAATATTCAATTTTATGCAATAATTAACTATCAAATCTAATCAGACGATCTGCTTAATTGCGGTAATGTGTGCTGTAGGGGATAAAGAGGTACTGCCGTGACTTAGTTTTTCCCTTGCAGAAACTGGGGGACTTGCAAGACATAGAAAGAAATGGTCAAAATCGACATTGTAGATGCTGAGATATCTTGACTTTTCTTCTCCTATTTGAGTCTAGCTGTAGTCTTCTTCCAATCCAACACCCCAGTTGTACCATAGCTTTTATTTTGTATCTTAAATATCTTGTTTACAGGATCAAAGTGGGTCTTTATGTCATGTGGTTTTAAGTCATACAGTACAATACAGCAGCTAGTTTTATAGCACTTACAAAAGTCGTTGTTGCACAAACAAAATCTATGTTTATCTACTAAGGTTAAAGTTAAAGTTGGCGTGCTGCATTATATTGAGCTGTGGTCTCCACGGACCCCAATGCATGAAAAGAATCCAATTAAGATAAGGATGCAGCGGGAAGCACCACGAGCATTTGGAATTTTGCAGATTCTGTCTTGCTCATTTCATATCTTGGTCACAAGGGATTTTTCTTTTTGTTGCAGTGTTTCTATGTTGAAAAAAAAAGTGGTTTATATATGAGTTTATGATGTTGACCATGTAATGTCATTTTTTTTGCTGTATGAATTGTATTATCATTGGATTCATTTTTGCTGTTAACCCTTTCTACCTGGTGGTACCAGTACCAGAAGAACCAGGCATGGCATAATTGCAGTGGGTGATCCTATCTCCAAAGCTCTTCAAATGGCTTAAAGCAGGGGTGTCCAATCCTGGTCCTCGAGGGCCACAGTCCTGCATGTTTTAGATGTTTCCCTCTTGATTCAATCCATCAGCTCATCATCAAGCTCTGCAGAAGCCTGATAACGATCCTGATCATTTGAATCAGGTGTGTTGGAAAAGGGAAACATCTAAAACATGCAGGACTGTGGCCCTCGAGGACCAGAATTGGACACCCCTGGCTTAAAGGGAGAGGCCATCTTGTACTGCTATCACAAAAATGGAAGTAGGAGGATTGTACTTCTGTTCCTATTGCTCTCATTTTACAGTTTCTCAAATGGCGTGATGATGATAACAGAGAGGATGTATTGGATTTTATAATTGTCCGGAGGGTCTCTTATCAATAGGGCCCAATGCTCAAGTTTCATTTAGGACTTACAGTTGTGGAGCTGTCACTGATTGAAATTGGGTATTTAGGTCAAAAATAGCCATGGTCTAAAGAGATTACATGCTGATAGCAGTGTCCACCATGACCTCTCCTCTGTGATAATAGTTGGTAATAGCAGCGATGTGTGCTTTCTGCCCTACAGGAGAACCCAGAGTGTGGGCCATGAACCTCTGAGGAGACAGGGCTCCTCCACCACCAGCCGCCCCCCTCAGCCCCTCTCTGCCCAGGCCATCAAACACATCTGGGTCCGCACGGCCCTCTTTGAGAAAGTTCTGGATAAGATAGTTCAGTACATCGTGGACAACTCCAGGTGACTTTGCTTTATTCTTTGCCTTCCGCAGCTGCAACGAAGTGACTCACGGCTCTCCACTCCAGGCTTTGTTATATCTGAATGATGAGCGGCCCTTCGAATTCCCTATTTATGTGTTCCATTCTTCTCTCGTGTTCGCTCTCTGGTTGCTTTGTTCTGTCCTCTGTTTGGCTAACAACCACAGTGTGCTTCATCAAGCTGTGCAAGGTGATTCACTGATCAAAGCATCAGACGTGAAGTGTACTGATGGGGTTCACAGAAACGACAATGTGGATCGCACACGTTAAATGGAGAAAAATCCACGTTAATCACAAGTTGTGTAGTTTGTTGTTTTCTGCTTGTTGCTCCTGCCAGAACTGGGCAAATATAGTAAAGTTAACATCATGTTCAGACAGCTGCAGTGTAGGTCATCTAATCTGATGTAAGGCGCCCACAGTAAATGTCAGGGTCTGTGTCAGGCCCTCAGAAATAAAGAGAAAGCGTTCAACAGGAAGAAGTCTATCACAGGTAGAGATTTCCCAACAAGCAGCAACCTCAGTAGACCTGTGGCCTGTAATATAAAGCAAGCTGAACTTATTGTAGTTCTTACTAGATTACCTAGCTTCACTGAGGCTAACACGAGAAATCCTGGGCAAATAAAATTGGTTATCAACTGGCTCAGTTAACTCTGGGTTTCCTATCCTGCTATAAGCTCTTAATCATGTGCCAGTTACAATCTGCATTATCAGGAGCATCTGACTGGTGTGAAAAAAGCTGTTTCAGTGGCACAAAAAGATCGTTATGTTGGCAGTCGTGCTCATAATGTTTTAGTTACTCAGGGTTTGTCACGGCAAAAAAAACAAAAAAACAACACAAGATATGTTGTGCCAAAAAGTAAATTTTTTAAAATCGAAAGCAACACCTTTATTTCTAATTATCATCTCATTTAAGCTAAAACAGTGGCAGTAAAAAGAGTGTAGATTCAAACATATGCACAATCAGGAGTCCTGCTTAGTGTAAAAGAGCCGTAGCACAGTCAGCTTATCGCTCTTAGAGCCATTATTTAACCTGTTAACGTGGCAGAAGTTTCAATTTTAACACAGTGCAGCCGTTCTACATGGATTGACATTGTGATGTAACCGGGTGAAAAGAGAGCCAGCAAAAGACATCAGCCCAACCCACTAATCTCATTTTGTGATACACGCTTCAGGATTCAATGCAGCCTCTAGGTGTACATATATATCATCATTAACTACATTTTTGCCTGTTCTTTGAATTGTTGAACAGGAAATGTAAAATGCAAGGATGAGGTGATATTTCTCTCTAACCTACCACACAATCTCAGAGTACTCCTCAGTACAGACTGATGCCATTTGATAATGTTTTTATCTCTTGTCTGTGTTTATCACTGCAGTAAATACTATGAGAGGGAAGCTCTGATGCATGACTCAGTCTTTGGGCCCATCTTGGCAGCCCTGCTAGGTGAGTACATTACACTGAGCTTGAACTTTCAAATTTTCCTAAATCATCCAAGGACGGTTTAATTCACAGGGCAGCTGGATTCTCACAAGATTCATGAGATCTTGACTCCACAAGAATCTGTCTTACCAGCCTTCAAGGTGTGAATTTGTGGTCAATTGATAGTTGGTCAGACTAATCAGAATCCTATGAGGAACTACTGGCAGCTATGGGTGTATTTTAAGTGTGAGTTATGACAGACAATCCCTGACAAATGGTTCATCCAGTCACCTGCCAAGTATTTTTTGAAAGTACCTGCACTTATCCACCCTTACAGAAAAATCCAATGACTTTCACATGTTTTTCCACATGTGGAAAGCATGTTACCACATGTCACAACATATGGGTGCACATGTGAAACATGTGGTACCATGTAGAGCACAAGTGGGAAACAGCACTAGTAATGTGTTTCTCCATGTGCAACAGCTCAAAGGCAGGAGAGGGAAACTTAAGTGAAGGAGAGCTGAAGCTTGCATTCACCCATGTGAAACCAGTACAAATATCCATGTGGAAATGGAACTACATGTAAAACCCATGTTTTTGCACATGTGAAATTCATATGCTTTCTCTTTATGGGGAAACAGTTTTAAAGCACAACCTTTGTGTAACAACCATCTGTATATAAAAGATAGAAGTAGCCATGACACTACCCACTGGTTTTTGCACTACTGCTTTGAAACCTTGAGTTTGGCATTTGGCCGTCACTATCTTGGTCCTTGGTCCTGGCGTAAGGAGCGAACAGTGTTTTTTTTTTTGTTTGTTTTGTTTTTTAAATTGTGAATAGAATCATGCTATATGTCAATAAACTTATTAGGAAAATGTTCACAGGTTTAGCAAATAAAGTGAGAAGTAGGGTTGATTTTCTCATAGACTTCTATACAATCTGACCTTATTTTTGCAACTTTTGCAAGTTGCTCATTGTTGGAAACAATGCATGTAAAAGGTACTTCCTTGTTGGTTTCATTTTTTACACCCAGAGGCTACATCCATGTTTTTTTGTGAATGGGTCAGGTTAGACTACAGCAATGGAGTACAAAACCACATCGTCTAGGCACATTTTGTTGTATTTATTTAAAATCTGTAAAACTTGAATGGACAAAAATCTGTTCCAGAAAAGGCAATCATGAAAATAATCACAAAGTCATGCATTGTTTGCCTTTTCTCCATCTGCTATCCCCACCCCAACAACTGCCCCACCCCCTTCATCCCCACTCTCACCCTAGCTGGTTGAGGCAGATGGTTGCCTCCCCTAAACCTGGTTCTGTTTGAGGTTTTTTTCCCCATCCCTTAAAGAGGGGTTTTTTGGTTCCTTTCCACCGGCTGCTTGCTCAAAGGGAATCCAAAGGGAATTTTGGCTTGTTGGGTTCTCTGTTTACAATTTGTAAGGTCTTCACCTTATTATGAAATGAATATGTTGTGAATTGGAGCAATATAAATACATGAAATTGAAAACTGATTTGCAGTCAACCGCTCACACGACTGCTTTCTAGCGCGTACACCTTGGAGCCTCCTCAGTATGGCAACAAGAGCTGAAAGCAGACAGAAGGCAGAACCCAGACAACATTTAATAATCAGAGAAACAGAAACACACAAGCAGTCAGACAACAGGACACAAAGAGCTGAGCAGGCGAAACCAACGAAGACAACCTGAGCAGTAAAACAAATTGGCAGAGAGAGAAAAACCTCTATATCCACACTGATTAAAGAGGTAGTGAGGTGCAGCTGATGAGGACTGATGATGAAAGCAGTAACAGGTGCGCAGAGTAGTACAGCACAGTGAGGACAGCTGGACCAGACAGACAGTGTCTATGTCCAAACCAAAAGACGACTAGACATTAGTTGTACACTAATGCTGAAGAATACTTTGGTTTCTGTTTTGTGTCTGGTGCAACTTAAGATTTTAAAGCCCAACAACTCCTATTTCAAATTTGCTAGACTGCTTATGTCTAGCCGTAAGTAGTGCCCTTCCTGTTGTGGCTGCATCATGATTCAAACAAAAATCAAACAATTCTCTACTTGATTTTGTCCATTTTCACACATTCTTCTTATTTTTATAAACTAACACATGCAGAGATCCCCATCTTTCAAATTCTAGCTCTATGAAGTTATCTGGTGTTGTACGTCAAGATCATTCAAACCACTGATATATGTGTAAATATTCGTCTCACATCCTTATCTGCATTCCTATGAATACTTACAGAACACCAGTTTTACTTAAACTGGAATTCCATAGTATGAAGAATATTCAAATATTCCTGCCATTTGATGAGCAGGAAGATATTCTCTGTATTTTTTATATTGTCAGCGAATCTAACAAAGAGATCAAAACCAACAATAAATGTAACCTGCCAACAAGAATCTTGTTTGTATCCAAAGCCTGGTAGATTGTATTCCTCTGTGCTGTAGCCCTTCAGAAATTATATTAAAAAAAACACACACATCAGTGAGGCACACTGTTGCTCTGGGTAACATGTTGACGCACACTTTAAGCTCAATTTGACTCCACTGTCCTCCTGCCATAATATTCAGTACAGGACCAAATACAGCTTGATCTGCTGTTGAAGCTACTCGCCAACATCTGCACTAAATACATGAAATTCGCTAAGCAGTACAGGGGCCAACTGTTTAAGGAAATTGCTGAGAAAATGTTTTAAAGCAAAAACTGTATATTTGTGAGTGTAAGTCTTCAGTAGGAAGCAACTGGGAACCATTGTACAATAAACAAAGTCAGAAAGTATTGACAGATGAACTAACATGTTGTTGTTTTTATACAGTTATATTGCCCGATACAAAAACGCCGCAAACAGCAATGAAATAAAAATGTTTTAACTGGAAATCTCTATTCGACAGCAGAAGTAATACAAACTGCCAGATTTCAACAGTTCAAGCATGAAACCTCTTTCACTGTCAAACTCTTTTGAACTCATTTGCTAAGTGTCTTTGTTTGATTACTTTAATAAATACTTGACCTGGACATTCAAATAATAGTTTAGTGCCATAAAAAGCTATTTTCATAAAGAGGTAGAAAAACTGAGATCTTTTGTACATTTTGATTAAAGTTTAGTAAGAATTCATTTTAGGTAAGTCATCAACTTTCAAAGGGGTTTGCATTGAAGAACATCAAATGACTTCATGGGTTTGTGTGTGCTGTGTTCTCAGTGGGGCCCTGTGCTCTGGAGTACACCAAGCTGAAGACGTCAGATCATTTCTGGACAGACCCTTCAGCCAACGAGCTGGTTCAGCGCCACCGTATCCACGGGGCCCACCGGGGCCAGGATGTTTCCGCCGGCCGCCGGCCCGCTCTGGGGGTGAGTGCAGACTTAGGTCAGCTGCCTGAATCCTCAGGAGGTGTTGGTGTACAGAGATGGGGATAGTCACCGCAGATGTGTGGGATGGATGTTCTCGGAGGTCGTTAGTTGTATAAGCTGGCTGTGAAAAAGCTTTTCTTTTGTAGATCCGCAAGAGGCAGTCCAGTGGCAGCATGTCAGAGGACAGGTTTGCTGCATCAGCGAGGGAATATGTGGAGTCTCTTCATCAAAACTCCAGAACACACCTTCTCTACGGCAAAAACAACGTCCTTGTGCAACCGGTATGCCTGCAGCGTATCACTTTCTGCCCAGCTGTTATATACAATAGTCTTTCTGTTTCTGTTTCTGTCTGACCATCCTACTGACAGACATACCTGGAATGTCTGTGCTAAATTTCTGGCTCAGTTTATTTAACAGTGTCTGTTTGTTGCTTCTGATCCTAGTTTGATTTCCTTAATACTAATTATAAACCAGTACCCATACAAAGTCAGAACTTTCTTACTGAGTGGTTAAACAAATACCTGACATTGATTCTGGTAATCTGCAGTGGGATGTTCTCCACCAGGGAGGTTACTTTTTAGTCAACACACACTTAGAAATGTTTTGACAGGAAGGTCTTTCTATTGGAAAAAAGAACTTGTGTGCTGCAAATCAAATCAACTTTATTGTCATTTTGCTGTACATACACAGTAGCACAGGCAATATGAGAGAGCGTTTCTTCAGGATCTCATAACTTAAAGCAAGTTAAATAGAGAAGTGTTTGCATATCTGGACTACTCATAGGGAAGACTGTAGCGTATTGCAGGGAGGCAGCCGGAGCACAAACAGTCCATTCCATTTGTGTACGTCTTCCACAGCACATGACACAAGCGATAAACACAAACTACATTTTTTCTTGAAAGACATTTGAGCAATCCACCAATCATAAGTACAAATTACGCAAATGTGATTTGATTGTAATAATGAATTTACAATTATAATTATGTATTCAAAGTTTTAAGACTGGCTTTAAAGTTATTCAATACACAACTTTAAGAGTTTCAACTCACTTTAAAGAGATTCACCTGTCACACACTATATATGATGGGGTTTAAGTGGTTCATGTGGCATTTCTATTGTTGAGCCAGTCCGTTAAGATTCCCTCCCAAAGCAGACATTTATTTAACAGTCTCAGATTTCCTGCATTGAAACATCAGATGATATAAAACGTGTACGTAGTGTGTATAGGTTATAAAATTGAAAGTAATGAAATGAGACACAGTGCTATTGTTACAGCTACACTATGCTCCTCTACCTCCAGGCACTTCAGCTTGACTTTATGTAAATTCTCAGCTCGTGTACAGATAAATTGTAAACGAGGGCTATTTTCATCTGTTACTGTGCTGCACAAACACACAGTATTTTGTATGTGTGATATTTGAAATGAAAGCTGTCTTTCTCCTGCCTGTAATGTGCTCTGTGCTGCCAAGTAGTTCCAGCATGTTTGGCCTTGGGAATGTATAATGAGTACATATTTGCCTCCCACGATGTCTTTGACAGAGCCATGCTAACAAACACGGCTGAGTGCACATGCAGATGAATAGAGTGCTCACTGCACGCTAAATGGTACTGTACATAATTCTGCTCTCATTTTTTATATCATACAATACTTTATTCCCATATACACTGTCATATAATACATCATAAAACCCATACGAGACTAGTCTGACGGTTATTTCAAGTTATTAGGGTTATCTGTTTGTGTTGTCATGGAGACACGACTATCATCTAAATTGGATCGAACATTCCGAATGAGTTGGATGTTTCTCATAAATTTATAACTAAGGATATGTTTTTCAAACTTAAATTTTAAAAGTTGTTTATCTACCCACATCTGACATGTCTAGAAGAAATACTTCAAATTGATTGATTGGAAAAATTCAAGTTTGGGGAAAATGTGCTCATTTGCTGTCTGTGTGAAAGTTAGATGACAGGAAGGTCTCAATTGTCGTTTCGTATTAAGAACTGAGACATGAGGAGCCTAGCTTAGCACAACAACTGCAGGCAGGGGAGACAGTTTGTCAAGAATGAGGTTCATCATAGTTTGTATCTCTCCCTAAAAGCAAAAACTGGCACTCTTACATTTCTGTTAAAAAATAGATCAAACCAGAGGCTATTAAAATGTAAGACAACCTCCGAGCTGTACAAAAATATCATTGTGAGGTATATTGTGCAACTTAAGTAAAAAAATATCTTTATTTTTGAAGTCATAGCTCTCAAATCTGAGCACACAGACATGATACGCATAGTTTTAGATTCAGAAACAGTGTCCAGGTCCATATGTTCATATTCATAGAAAAAAAATGCCATCCCTCTAACTTCAGAATTTTCCTTAAAGTTATAAATTTGAAAGCAAATTTTAATTGTTTGCGCCTTTGATTACACTAAAGGACTATGTACAAAACATCAGGCATGATAAGAACTAATCAGAGTGGTACAACATGAGTGGATTACCGTTATTTGTTATAATGGGTCTGTTGCTTTAAACAAATAAGACTTTGGCACTGATGGTGTTGAGTCTAAAACCTGGGACAGATAGCAGAGGTGCAGGGGAAGCTCTTAAAGCACAGGAACGGGTGTAGGAAGTCTAAAAGATATCAGGGGTCCAGGTTATAGAGGGCTTTGAAGTGTAACAGTAGAATCTTGTGTGGTATGTTTAGTGGACTCTGAGCAGGTGATGATCCTACCAGCAAGGTTTTGAATCATTTTTGACGAAGTTTTTTAGTAATACCGGAGAGACTGGTGTTGAAGTAATAAATGCAAAAAGTGACCAGATTGTGAAAAGAACGTAAGTGCTTTGTTGAGTGGGAAGGGCTAAGTCTAGAAACATTACAAAGGTGGAAATAGGCAGTACATTAGAAGTTAACGTATACTGTCTTTCTATTTGGGGGGAAGGGTGGACTGGACTCTGATCCATGAATATAGTGAATGGGCCAGTTTTAGAAAGTGTGCTCTTTGAACCTCGCTTTTTTTCATCGAGTTTGTAGAAGTTGTTTGACATCCAGATGTTGATTGCTTGAAGACAGCTGGTGAGGGCAGGGAGAGAATGGAGGTGTAAATTTGAGTGTCATCAGCATAGCGATGAAAGTGTAATATTCATTTATGAGGCATTTCAGTAATATTAATAATGAATGGAAGATGGTGTCAATTGCTGCTCTCAGGTCAAGGACAATGAAGATGATCAGAGGGCCAGCATCTGCTGTAGGGAGACTGTGAGTGATTTTGACACGAGCTGTTTCTATGCTGTGTTTGGAAGGGAAACCAGACTGAAACTGCTCAATGACATTATTGCTGTTCAGGTTTCTACTTTCTGTTCCAGTATTTTTTTTAATAAATTGAAGGTTGGAATAAGTAGTTATTTAGATCAGTGGGATCTGAATCTGTTCTGACAAATGCCGTTTTCAGGGATGGTTTTTAGCTTTACCCCAGTTTCGCATTGATCCAGTGATAGTCGTCTGTAAAAGTGTCAAAAATATTATGAGTGAAAAAAATCTATTTTGTCTCACACCACTTAAAATAAAAATAATAAAAGTCGTTTAATAATGATGCAGCCCTGTTTGTCTCTCTGTCTTGAGTGCCAAACTTCAAGCCTTACATCTCATTTCATGTCCTTCCGTCTTCCTCTTCCTTTCCCCACGGTAGAAGAAGGACATGGAGGTGTTGCGGGGTTACTTGTCGCTTCATCAGGCGGGCGATAACCTCACTCTGAAGTGGACACCCAATCAACTCATCAATGGCACACTGGGAGACTGTGACCTGGAGAAGAGGTACACAAAATATTAATTATAAGACTACCTCTTGTGAAAGAAAAGTGAATAACTTAGAATAAATTGAAATGCAACAACTGCCTCTCAAGCTTCATTTCACACATTGTCTTACTTTACCAATCCAAAACACACCCTCTTTTTTAGTATCTATTGGGACTATGCACTGACTGTTCCTCTGCGCCAGATAGTCTGCATCCACTGTCACCAACGCCGTGAGTACACTGATGCTTCTGGTTCCAATCATCCCCGCTCACAGCGTCATGTTGCACTCCATCAGTCACCTCATATTAAGAGCATGTCATGAAGGGACTGTTTCATTAGCTTTTGTCAGATCAAGCTATTGATCGCTTGTCTTGATTAAGCGTATATTTGCTGTTGCAGGTCATATTGCTGTTTGATGTTAGTGCCTTTCATTTATCTCAGTGACCGCCTCTTGACCTCATGTTATCTCTCTCCTCCTCTTTGATTTCTCATGTGTGTTTGTGTGCACAACTCACACTCTTTTTACATTATTTCTATTACAATTTGTGTGTGACATAGGTAAAATTAAAGCACAGATTTAAAAAATCAATACACCCTTGGATTTGTCTTTTCCTCTCTTATTCATGGGTGATGTGTTTTTTCACTATATTCCAGCTGACTGTGGGGGGACGCTGGTTCTGGTCAGTCAGGATGGGATCCAGCGGCCGCCCCTGCACTTCCCTCCTGGTGGTCACCTCCTAGCCTTCCTCTCCTGTCTGGAAACAGGCCTGCTACCGCGGGGTCAACTGGAACCCCCCCTCTGGTCCCAGAAAGGCAAGGTAATAACAAGGAGGGGTAAAATGGGCTGGTGCTCAGCCTTGGGACATTCACCCCTCACTGCAGTCATCTTCAACAATCTAATTAATTCAAACAATGACTAAAATGTTGTTTTTTTTCTAATACTGTGACTTCTGGGATGCAATAGTGAAATACTGTACTTTGTGGCTTTAACAAGAAGTCTAACATTTGTCAAGTGTGTTGCCAAATAGCTTCATCTTCCTGAATTTAACTGGTTTCAGCACATTTTATATCTAACATGACGATAGCAATAGAAGGATGTGTGGAGTGAATGTGAACCACACAGTTAGGTGGCCGCGGCTCACGTGGTAGAGCGGTTGTCCTCTGATCAAAAGGTTGGTGGTTCGATTCCCAGCCCCTTGTCCTTGGGCGAAACACTGAACCTGAAGTTGCTCCCAATGGCAGGCAGCACCTTGCATGGCAGCTCTGTCGCCATTGGTGTATGAATGTGTGTGTGAATGATTGAATGAGAAGTGCTTTGAGCGCATTTACCATTTACAGTAATGACGAAATAGAGCCGTTGCAGAGGCAAGTGTTATAAATATGACCTAAATGGAAAAAAGAAGTTAGTGTGCTGTTTAGAATGTACACTCAGTTACCACTTTATTAGATAGATGTCGCTATAAAAATACTAAAATCTTGCC